GAGCAGGGAGCCCGATGCGGGACTCGATCCAGGGACTCCAGGATCATGACCTGAGCCGAAGGCAGTCACTTAACCAACTGAGCCACCCAGGCACCCAGGGATAGACTATTTTAAAGAAAGCAAGTTTCCTAAGAAAAAAAATTCAGTTTATTTGAAAGGATAAATTTGAAATACTCTCCCAAAGGCTCCAGGGTTTTGGCAGAAATCAGTGAAGATGTTTGAGGAAAAAACAGTACTCTCTGGTCACGAACCATGGCACTTTCAAATTCTTCGTCGGTAAAGGGGTCTTTTATGTGACATTGTTTTTAGTCTGGGAGATTCAGAAAGTGAGGCTTTGACCCACATACCTGGACTCCTTGGGCTTCCTGTTGCAAAAATGTCCGCGTTCTGCTACTTTAATTTTCTTCCTGGGTGGGAAACTAAGAGTATTTTACTTCTGTTTTTTTTTGTATATTTTAAATGAGTACTCTTATTATATTATCATACTTTCCATTATAATAATGGGATCTGTTTATGAAACTTGATCTTACTTGTGATAGTGGCAGAATTCTATTGGTAGCTCGACAACAGTTTTTAAGATTATCAATTATGAAACTTAATTACCAATTGTGGAGTTCTTTTCATTTACGTTTAGTTCCTTCTTATTCAGGAGACCTCAGAATCCTTACTATCCCTCTATGCCCTGATGCCAAATAAAGCTTTTTATTTTTCTTATTGTATGATTTTAAATGGCATTTGTGATTATTTTCTAATTCAATCCAAACTGTGAGCTCCTTCATTTCATATGGTCTAATCATTTTTCAAGTGAGGTATTGTCAGTAATTTGCAATCAATTAATGGTTGATATGTGTCAAAAATCTTGTCTAGGAAATATTCTAGAATATTAGAATTCTAAAAATTCTGAAGATGGATATATTCATTATTTCTCTTACTCTAGTAAGAAACCTAGTAGAAAAGTGTTCTTTTTATTTTTAACCTTTGATACTGGATTTATTTAAACTTTTTCCTATTGAGTTGAGGTTTGAAGAAATGCTCTTCCTGTTTTAGATACCTGAAATGTTATTCAGTGAAACAGATGGCGAAGAAAAATACAGCGACAAAAAAAGGAAAGAAGAAAAGAAAAAAAACTCAGGTAGTATTTTGATGAAATTGACTTTGTAAAATAATTGCCATTTTTTTGGTGTCATAGATTCGTTAAAGATTCACAGTGATTGTGAATTTGAATAATGATAAACTAGCATAAAGGCTTTTTTTTGTTTTTAAAGATTTATTTATTTGTTAGAGAGAGAGAGAGAGGGAGGGGCAGAGGGAGAGGGAGAGAGAATCCCAAGCAGACTCTGCACTGAGTGTGGAGCCTGATGCGGGGCTCGATCCCAGGACCCTGAGATCACGACCCGAGCTGAAACCAAGAGTCGGACGCTTTTAACTGACTGTGCCACCCAGGTGTCTCCTAACAAAGATTTCTTTTGATGAAAACTAAACTAAAGCTCTCTGTATTTATAAACTCGTGTTTATGTCATTTTCTGCAGGACCTAACTCATTATCTATTGTTTACATTTAAGAAGTTAAACAATTATATTCTTGACCTGGATGATCGGATGTTCTACTTACATTGTCTGGGGTCTTTGGCTAGAAGGCTAAGCTTCTCTATTAGTTTTCACTTTTCACTTCGCTAGGTCACAGCGTGCAACTCACACATGAAAACGTTTTAGGGTGTTGTTTGAGTGTGGACACAATATTTTCTTAATTATACTTTCATTATTTTTTCCAATTCCAAATTAATTTTGAATGTGGTCTTTTTTTTTTTAGTATCATAGCGCATTCATTAATTTATTTATCTTACCATCTAGTCACCAAATAGTTATTGAACTTGTTTTACCTTAGGTACTGGGCTGGATACTAGAGATGACTTAGGAGCTCCTACCGTACTAAAGAATAGCAAGAATTATGTTCTATATAAACATAAACTCTGATACAGTGAGATAAATGATGGTAGGAGTTGATATGAAGAGCCTTTGAAAGTGAGACAGCTTACTAGCAGATGTTGCAGCAAATGGACATGGGCAGATGGGCAGTTTGGAGAAGAGTGACTAGCATGGAAAAAGCTCCAAGAAATAAACGAGCTATTTTACTGGATCTGTGAGCAGCCCAACGGCTGAGACATGGACGTGTGAGCAGTAGAGTACTAGGTGAAGAGAAGGCAGGCGGCTTCAGTAATGACAAGCCTCCCGTGTCGTGCTAAGGAATTTGGATTCTGACACTTGGGTGATCTGCGGTCGTGGAGCGATTTCAGCAGAGACGTAACCAGAGTCTTGCTGTAGAAACAGAAGTGTCTGGGTCCATCCTTTTCCTCAATTACTGGAAACTAGGGGGGTGTAAGGAGAAGGACTGAAGGCGATCAGAGCCCTGTGGAAGGCCACTGCAGTAATCCAAGAGGAAGGAATGGACTTGGGGGCATCAGGGGGCACTCTAAGGGGACCCCTTAGAGGAAGGAGGACGCAAGGACATTTCTTGGGGTTCTGGCTTAGAACAGTGATGAGAAGTTGACTTTACTGACCGAGGTAGAGAATATGAAAGAACATAGATTGAGGTGATGAGAGGAAGATAACATGTTTAGTAATGGATGTGTTGCATCCTGTGTGAACTGACTTGTCATTTTTTGGCTTTTGAGGTCCTGTTTCGCCGTGTGTCAAATGACAGTGGACCTGTGTTTCTTGGTTTGGTATCTCTTTTCCATTCAAGGAGCCTTTATTGTGTTTGCTTCTAGATTACAAGTTCTGTAGTTCCAACTAATTTATATGCTATGACAACCTGTAGATTTCTCTCTCTTACAGCAATAAAAGTGTTCAGAGCAAATATGTCACAGTGGACAGATAGAGACCACTGAAATTAAGTAATTCAAAGTCATAAGGAACGTGGGAGCTGCGAATAGATGTACCTTTATGCAGAGATGATACCTCGTAGTTATAGTTCTGTAGGTGGAAATATCTGGTATGAAATAAATGTAGTTAAGATGATTTTCTCTAATTCGCAATAGATCATATATATGTTAAATCATTTTGTTTTCTCTTTCTAGTTGATCCTGATTTTCTAAAATCATTTTTATTAATCCATGACTCTTGTAAAGCATATGGTGCTACCCCAAGCCGATACATGACCTTTTTACGCGTGTATTCTTCCATCAGTAGCAGCAAGAAAAACGAACTACTAAAAAGACAAAGTCATTTGCAGGTACAGTATTGGTAATCTCAAATTCTTTTACTGATCTGTGGGGTACAAGGATTTATGTATATTATAATCCATTGCCTGTGGCATGTATTTGGTATGAATGAGTACGGTATTACAGGCCTTAAAACAATCTCACCTACCCGTATTGCTCATAGGTTTACTAACGGTTTTGTAATTTTTATTTAGATTCAGTAATTGTTCTTTTTCTCCACTGGATGGTATTTATGTGCTTTTTTGATAGTTTATGGTGATATTTAAAAGTTTCTTTAAAATCAAAGTGTATTTAGAAATTCAGAAATGTCTATTATTAATTGAAGCATAATATCTGAGATCAAGCTTTATAATAACCTTTAAAATTAAAATTATACCTTATAAAATAATACTTTTATCTATGTCAGTACATTCTCCACAGTTGTCTTTCTCCATTTCTGTAGTTACAGAGCTTCAACTTCAATGTGGCATTAAAATGCCAGCCTCGGAAGCTGTCGGAGGGCATTTCCTCTCCAAAGTCGTAGTGTCTCTCTGTTAGTGTCATAAGTAGGATCCACCCTAATCATTGACAAAGTTATCTTTACCCCTCTTTCATTCAGAGCAAGCCACTAACTATACTTGCTTTGGGAAGGTCATTTTCTTGATTTAGTTGTCTGGGGTGCTTTGGGTAAATTACATAGACTTGTTGACCTGCAACTTAATTGGGTCAGTTAGATAAAGAACCAGCATGATGCTGTCCTCTCTGTTGGGTGCTCAGTAAATACTGGTTATATTGCTTTTTGCCACTACTGTCTCCCGAAATCTTCTCATTTGTTAGGTGACAAAAACCCAACTCATATTATAGGAGAGGGGGAGTATTTTCGTGTTCATTCCTTGGATTACTCACGGGTAGTGGGATGGGGTGCAGTAATGGCCATCGCAGGGTCAGACGTCCACCCAAGAGTAGGCCTTGAGTCCTTTTACGTAGTCAGGGAGACTGAGAAGTGGAAAAGCTTTGCCGAGTTTTTCCTCGCTTTCTGTTTTCTCTCCCACAGACTTCAGTGGGTAAAAATCCTGGTCTTGAAGCTCCCAAGTATGTGTTGATCTGTTCGGCTTTACTGTGACACTTTAAAGTCTGTTTTTCTTTTATGTCTCTGTGGAGTCTTGTACCACACCTTAATCGGTACATGGTGGAATAAGTCATTATAATTAGCAGTAAGGAGCTACCCAAGTCCACTTGCAAGTGTTTGATGTGTACACACTTAGGTTTTTCCTTGACTCTTTCTTAAAGATACCCCATTGTATATATATCCCACATCTTCTTTATCCGTTCATCAGGATAAAGAGTATAAAATTCCTTTTTTTTTAATGTTGGTTAATTTTATTGATACAGGCTGGTGTGTCTAAACTGAATGAAGCTAAAGCTCTTGTGGACGAGCTGAACAGAAAAGCTGGAGAACAAAGTGTGTTACTTAAAACTAAGCAAGACGAAGCAGATGCTGCTCTGCAAGAGATCACAGTGTCAATGCAGGTAACGCTTTGAGGGAGCACGAAAATGCAGACTGTAGGGAGACCACATCTGCCTGATTATTACTGTGAAAACTTACATTTTTACTTACGTGGATTTAAAAAATACTGCTTGTCTGTGCTGAGTCAGGCTGATGGTATTAAGTACTTGAGCTTTTGTGGAAAAGCATAGTATTTTCCCATGTTATTTTAAAATCATAGCTATATTCTTCTCAATTCACCATATCCTAATATATCTAAACCCTGTAAATATATAACATTTTACGTTGGTATAGATTTGTCTGTAAGCGATTTTATTTGTTTACCCTCTGCTAGTTAAGTTGAGATTTCCTTTTATTTTTTAAAAAATTATCTCCTTCAGGCTCCAAGGGTTTTTTTCTCCTGCCTTTAATATTCTCAAGATTTACAAAATAAGTCTTTATTCATTTTACTTGTACTTTCATGATACTTTAATATTTTGATTCTATCCACTTTTTGCCATTGCCTTGCCTTAGTCGAACCTTTCAGAGGAGACGTCTTTGACGTTCTTGTCCGCGCAGGCGCTGTGTCCGCGTGCCCTCCCAGGCTGCTCTGTGCTGACCCCCGCGACATCCATCTCCCTCGTCCTTCAGCCCTACTCTCTCATCTGAGCTTCAGACTCAAATCCCCAATAATCTGCTAGACGTGTCTTCTGAGACGTCTCTGAGCTTTATGGCTGGGTCACATTCCAGTGTGTATGTGTATTCTATCCCACATCTTCTTTATCGGTGCACACTTGGGCTGCTTCCATAATTTGGCGATTGTAGATAATGCTGCTGTACACATTGGGGTGCATGTGCCCCTTTGAATTAGTGTTTTTATATCCTTTGGGTAAATACCCAGTAATGCAATTCCTGGGTCGTATGGTAGCTCTGTTTTCAACTTTTTGAGGCACCTCCACACTGTTTTCCAGAGTGGCTGCACCAGCTTGCATTCCCACCAACAGCGTAGGAGGGTTCCCCTTTCTCCGCATCCTCGCCGACACCTGTTGTTTCTTGTGTTGTTGACAACATAGCTAATTGTTCAAGACAGAACTTATAAATTATATTAGACATATGTTCTCTCAGTCCCTACCTTTCATGAATCACTAAGTTCTGTAAGTTTATCTTCTTGATTATATCTCATATATGTTTGTCCATCTCCATGTTGGTGACTATTAACCTTACTGCAAGTCTAATGCCTCTTTTAATTAAAGTTAACTTCAATATTTAATAGACTAATGTATAAATCTCAATAAAAGGAAGTGGCACAAAAACTCATAAAATAATAAGGTTGGAAGAATTATGATTTAAAGACTTACTACTGAGGGATGCCTGGGTGGCTCATTTGGTTGAGCGTCTGCCTTCGGCTCAGGTCATGATCTCAGGGTCCTTGGATCGAGCCCCGCATCGGGCTCCCTGCTCAGGGCGGAGTCTGCTTCTTCCTCTCCCTCTGCCTGTCGCTCCCCCTGCTCACGCTCTCTCTCTTGCTTGCTCTCTAAGTAAATAAATAAAATATTAAAAAAAAAAAAAAAAGACTATTGAGCTATAGTGATCCAGGCAGTGTGATACTGGTGTAGTGATAATCAGACAGATCATTGGAACACTATGAAGTTCAGAAATAAACTAAAACTTGAATTGATTTTATACAAAATGCCAATTAAATGGGGAAAGGATGGTCTTTTTAAAAAATGGTATTTAAATATCCATGTAGAGAAAAATAAACAAGACCTTTACCTTAAACTTGTATAAAAATTAACTGAATATGGGTCCTAGATCTAAATGTACAGCATAAAATTATAAAACTTTGGAAGAAAACAGGAGAAAATGATGTTGGGTGAGGCAAAGATTTTTTAGATGTGATACCAAAATAGAAGAAGAAGAAAAATGGATGAAATTGGACCCTATCGAAATTAAAAACTTCTCCTTTGTGAAATAAGTTCTGAAGAAAATTAAAAAGCAAGTCACAGACTGGGAGAAATTATTTACAAAACATAAATCTGATAAATGACTTGTATCCAGAATATATAGAAACCATTAGAACACAATAATAAAACTAAAAGTCTAATTTAAAAATGAGCAAAAGATTTGAAGATGTTGTGTTGTGTCAACAACACAAGAAACAACAGGTGTTGGCGAGGATGCGGAGAAAGGGGAACCCTCCTACACTGCATGGTAGAAGACATAGGAAGGGCCAGTAAACACACAGAGAGATGCTCAGCATGGTCAGTCATCAAGAAATGTAATCCCCTTGTTTCCAGACATTTTCTTCCAACTTCTGTTGTCGTGACCGAAACACTCCCAAGTTCTGTTAAGTTCTGATCCTTTGCAGGTGATCTTTTTCTTTTTTCCTCTCTTGAGACTTTGTGGAAGTCATTGTTCTGAAGGTGACATGATCTGCCTTGGCTTAGGTTTCCTTTCATTCACTGTGTTGGACACCGTGTGGATTCTGCCCCAGGACACTTCTCTCCGCAGTCCAGGGAAGTGTCCTTACTGCGTGTGGCCATACTCCCCTCCCTCCATGTCTCTGTCTTCCCTTCCTGGATGCTTGTTACTTGGACTGTGGACTTCCCTGACTGCTTCTCTGATTCTCTTATGTTTTCTCACCTTTTTCCTTCTCTTTTTGCTCTACTTCCTTTAAAAATTCTTCATTTTCTATTTCACCTCTTGAGCTTTTCATTCCTGCTCTGATGTTATCTCTCAGGAGATGCTTCCTTTTGGCAGCGTCCCTTTTTTTTTTTTTTTTTTAAAGATTTTATTTATTTATTTGACAGAGAGAGAGAGAGATAGCAAGGGCAGGAACACAAGCAGGGGGAGTGGGAGAGGGAGAAGCAGGCTTCCCGCCAAGCAGGGAGCCCGATGCGGGGCTCGATCCCAGGACGCTGGGATCATGACCTGAGCCGAAGGCAGACGCTTAACGACTGAGCCACCCAGGCGCCCCTGCAGCGTCCCTTTTTATTGGTCTCTTTCATTGTTGCCTCATCTCTCCTTAGCCCTCGGAGGGTACTTTATGAAATCTTCTATTTCCCACTCTATTTTCTTATGTACTTTTTCATACTTGATTGTTTTATTCTTATTCACAAAAGAAGCTTTCTTTGGGAGTTTGGTCGTCTTCATTGGAAATCTGAGTGTGGGTAGGGTTCTTAAGGACTGTGAGCTTCACAGGAGGATTATCTAGACTGACTTGAATGACATAATCAAGATTTCCCCTGATATGCCAAAATAATTCCATTGGCATTTGGGAAACTTTCAAAAGCAGTAACGTTTCCAGATACATAATGGTTATGTACACATTCAGTGTTTCCAGGATAATTTTATTGAGTACCTGACCTGGTAAGTAGTGTAATAGAAAATCAAATGTAATTTTCATACTATAAAACTTTAGCATCACTTTTTCCTCAAGGTATTTTGGAAACAAATTACTATAAAGATTTATGTAAAGCAGACAGCCATTTTTATTATTAAAAAATACCTGTCACCTCCTTACCTTTGAAGAGTAATTTGAAATATGAAACAAGTGAAGGCTGTGTGAAGGATAATGCTGTTGATGAAAGGAGACCATTGAGCAGTGCGTGTGCCCACGTGCCCTCAGACTGGCGAGCTGCAGTTGTACTCGGACGGCTGTGCTCCCTGTGGTCGGCCCCCCGCGAAGGGTTTTCTATGACGGTAGCTAGCTGTCTTGCCTAGCTGAGACACAGAAGAGTCGCTGGGTATCTTGTATGCTAGTAATTTTGCTTAACTCTAAGTAGACATTTCTGTTCATTATTTTATAACAAAGTATAGTCTGGAGAGAGAGCTAAATATCAAACTGTGTGAACTTGCAAAGCTTGCAGTTCCAGGTCTGTGACTTGAGAAAAGTACAGATTAAATACTGTAAAATCCTGGAGTAGGGCTCACTTCCAGGTGGCAGAACAACACGCGTGCTGGGCCTTGGAGGATGTTTGCGTGTGTGATGGAACACCATGTGAGTTCCCTTCTGAGGAGCCCACGGTTCCAGTTGCACTGACATGTAAGGGAGTTCAGGGTGGGACTGTGGAGGAGTTGGCCGGTGCCCTGAGTCTCAGCTTCGGCTCCAGATTGGAGCCACCTGGTGCGTCTTTAGATCTTTCTGCGCCCTGCCTGCACCCAGATGAAGTATTTCGATGTACTTGGCAACAGAGCACCAGGTATTTGTTCTTAAGCTCCCTGGGTGATCAGAATGTGGTTGAGAACCGCTTATGTAAGGACTCTTGAAAGATTTCTTGACAAATTTCCTCCTTCCATATGTGGGATCCTTGATACTTGCATGCATGAACAGAGAGTTCACGTGTTATTAGTATATAATTTACTGTTCTTTGAATCTGTACTGATTTTTGTTGATTTATTTACCATCATATTGTATCATGATCTCAGTTTTTGTCTGAAGTGTAGAAACACAAACTTCTAATACACTGTAGTCTCTAAGAGTTGTTAGTCTTTACTGTTAGAATTATAGAAGACTTTAGGGCGCCTGGGTGGCTCAGTTGGTTAAGCGACTGCCTTCGGCTCAGGTCATGATCCTGGAGTCCCGGGATCGAGTCCCGCATCGGGCTCTCTGCTCAGCAGGGAGTCTGCTTCTCCCTCTGACCCTTCCCCCTCTCATGTGCTCTCTCTCTCCTCTCATCCTCTCTCTCAAATAAATAAATAAAATCTTTAAAAAAAAAAAATTATAGAAGACTTTAGTTTGTTCATTTATGAGATGAGCATAGTAGTACCAACCTCTCTGAATTATTTATTCCAAGTGTTAAATGTATATTATGATAATTTTCTAAGTTTTGCAATTCTGAGTTGCTTGGTTTTTATATAATAAGCATTTATTGCTTTGCTATTTGGAAACATTAAAGCAAATAAAGCATAGAAACTTCCTGATAGTAAATACGTAGTAAATTATAACATTCATTTCCCAGGCATCTTAGAAACTTTCATGTCAGTTAACATTAGGAAAACATTTAATAGAAGATGTTATTTTAAAATAATTTATATTTTTGATATCATGCTTTAAAATATCAAGTGCATGAAAATTAATTGGAATACCATTTAAATATTCCTCTAGGATGCTAGTGAGCAAAAGACAGAACTTGAAAGACTGAAGCACAAAATAGCAGAAGAAGTTGTTAAAATTGAAGAAAGAAAAAACAAAATTGACGATGAATTAAAGGAGGTGCAGGTAGGCTACAGCGGAGCGTCGTCTGACTCCCGGCTGTGTCTGGGAGTTCTAGCAGTATTAGCAAGCATGGGTTCCAACTGAATGGTCTTCATGGAAGAGACGCAGGAAGCAAGGTCGGCCGGGAGAAGGGAGGTCATCAGAAACCATCCGCGTTCCTGTGAGCCATGTTGTTTGAGTGTCAAGGAGAAAAATGTGTTGTAGGGAAATTAAGTCAAACTCTCAGGCTCTTTTTTGGCTCCTCACTAGGTTATTAGCCAGCTAGTCATAGAATATAAGGAGCCTCTTGAAAATGGCAAATTGTCTCAAAACAAATGGGATTTTTTCTAAATTAGACTCTTGCAGTTATGGTGGTAAGAATTTGAAGATTTTGTATTTTGTGTGTTTCAAAGCATTTTGATAATTTGAAGAGAAAGGATATTAATAACGAGTTATTTTTAATAAAATGACAAATATTCAGTAACTTCTAGAGTTAGTGATTTTTACATATATATTTTTTGAAAGTAAAAATGCTCTTTGTCTTTTTAGCCTCTAGTCAATGAAGCTAAACTAGCAGTTGGAAACATTAAGCCAGAATCTCTTTCAGAAATTCGCTCACTGCGTATGCCACCTGATGTCATCAGAGATATTCTTGAGGGCGTTTTAAGGTTGATGGGTATCTTTGATACATCTTGGGTGAGCATGAAAAGGTAAGTTTTTGAATTTGTGAAAAATGTTATTATTTCACCGGTGCAGTACACATTGATTGATTGATTGATTGATTTAGATTTTATTTTTAAGTAATCTCTACAACCAGCATGGGGCTTGAACCCACAACCCCACGATCAAGAGTCACATGCTGTACTGACTGAGCCAGCCAGGCGCCTCTCTTTCATATTTTTAAATACTTCTTACATTGTTTTTCAAACTGTGCTTCATTAATTACCTAGTTACACATTTTGCTGTAATATTTCAAGATACTCTGTGTGATCCTATATCAAGATCTGTATTTTCCTTTCTCCATAACGTGTGATATAAGTATCCACAGAGGGAAAAAAAGAATGCCTAAAACCTTGAAGAACATCTCAATAAATGCCATCATTTATTTGGCCCGCCCACGGTATAGAGCATTGTGTTTCCTGTGATTTACTGATGAAGGAAATACTGTCGCTCTCCTCAGAGTCTTGCACTCTTGGTGGAGTCAGACAAGGGCCGAAGCAGCGAGGGCAGGAGCCCTGTAAATAATACAAGACACGCATCGGGAGAGAAAAGGCCGGGTGTTAACGAAACATGCAGCCGCGTGGCTTCAGCTTTCACGTTCTGGTGACGGTGTTGTGGTTTGTGCCCACACTCAGATCCACACTGGGACTGGGGGTCATGGTGGAGTCCTTTCCTATCCAGAGGTGGCAAGGGAGGTGCAGGTTGAGGAACACTTGGGAGTCCCTTTCTTAGAACGGAGTCAGGAAATTTTCTGACCTATCCTAGAACAGACGAGCACAGAGCAGTTCACAGAAAGGGATGTGGGTAGAATCCGAGGACTGTGAAGCGTGCCCTTCACCGCTGCACATTATCGACAGGAGGCGAGGAACTGCGGGGCCTCTCTCTGGAGTTCACCCTTGTGGTCTTTACAAAGTGACGGGCAGCACATGAGCAGCTGGGATACTTCAGGACCCTATGTTTTGTTAACTAGTGGATGAAAAGTACTGCATACACCATTTTGTTAAATCGATGTTATTGTCAGAAATGGCAAATTTTATTTAGCCTCATTTGAAGTAATGTTTTAATTTTAGTTTCCTTGCAAAAAGAGGTGTAAGAGAAGACATAGCAACTTTTGATGCACGAAATATTCCCAAGGAAATAAGAGAGAGCGTTGAAGAACTTCTTTATAAAAATAAGGGATCATTTGATTCAAAGGTAATTTTTAACAGCTACGCCATCAATCCCCTTCCCATGCTCTGTAATATTCTGCTTGTTAAAACATGATGGCTTTTCATTGTCGATTATTTACACTGCCTAAAGACTAAGAGTAAACGATAATAGTGGGCCGTAGGGCTTGTGTGTCAGAAGCCTCGAGCGGCAGACAGGTGGGCGGGAATCAAGGTGGGTCTGGAGAGCACAGTCAGTGTCGTACGTGCAACATGTTTGCATCTTAGTATCAGTCTGTCATTTCTGAACTTCCCGCCTGCCTGGTCTGCCTTTCTTCCTTCCTGCATATTTGTCATATAATAACAGATACTTGCCTGAGGACACTTGTATCTCATTTCAGTGAACAGTTTAAATTCCATGATGCTGGGATTTTTTTTAGATCTCTTATACAGAATGTTTTGTGCATCATCTCTGATGTTGGTAACATGGTTTCAGGGTTGCTTTTATCCAATAAGGATGTGTCCCATGGACAGAAGAGAAGAACTGATGCCTGAACATCATTGTGGACAGATATATATTCATTATAAATGTAGCTGATGGAGTGTTTAGGTCAATAAAATATCATTTTATTAAATATTTATGTGCTTCCAAATATTTATTTGGAAGCAAAAGTTCAAGGTTATCTTAATGAAAATAACAATTCACATTATTGTTATTTAACTATCAACCAAAAACTTCATTTGGGGGGATAAATTATTAAATGCTTAAGCAAAATAGACCAGGATTACCTTTGCTTTTGTTTGAAGTGGAGTTAGGGTGCTGGCTAACTTGAGATGGATGTTTCAGAATGCGAAGCGGGCCAGCACGGCAGCCGCCCCTCTGGCTGCGTGGGTCAGAGCAAACGTCCAGTACTCCCACGTCCTGGAGCGCATTCAGCCTCTGGAAACTGAGCAAGCGGGATTAGAATCGTGAGTGAGATACCAAATATAAAGAAGTCTAACCTTTGTTTATTTGCACCAATTTAATGACTTAGTTATTGGGGTTTATCTAGGTTATATTTCTTGTTTATACCTAAAAAGGCAGCTGACAGCATTAAAACATATAACATGAGTCAGTTAAATAAAATTAAATTAAACAGATCAAAAGAAAATGCAGTTAAAAGAAGTTGGAGAGCAGAACCAACTCATTTTTTCCCCCCTACCATTATTATGTTGTTGGAAGGATAAATTGGTAGAAGTTCTTTTACAAAGAGTTAAATTTTGTGAATGAGTAATATTAAGGTACAAAAAAGTAGGTTTTGGAAAGTTAGGGCTTTTAAATTTGTTTCCTCCTTCTAAGTTCTAGGAAATGTGTTGTATATATTTTATAACACATGGTCTGGGCAGGTAGGGGGACAGTTTAACATTTACTTTTAGTTGGTGGTTGTTCCTAAGTCAGCATTGGTTCTATGCGCAGGAGAGGCATGTTATGTTCTCGATTGATCTGTGTGTGACCTCATCTCTTCTTACCCTGGACAAGGAGACTGTTAGCTGCCTAAACTTCTTTTTCTCAATATACTTATGTGAAATTTTTGTGTTAATTTGCCACATATTTTTGTGTAATGAATAATATTAAATGTTTATATTATTTTGAGTATATAAGTATTTTCCACAGTTGAGACGTACCGTATCTTATGGGTATATTTCCTTTCTTGTACATCTTTTTGTTTTTTCTTAATATCAATAATTTCCTCATTTTTAAAATTGATTATTTTTTTTCTGTTGACATATCACATATTTATCCACAGCCTTAAAACAGACCCTAAACCATATTCAGAATCTCTGTGTTTTATGTATTCTTTCTTACTATTATCCCTCCTAGAGCCTTTTGTCCTCCTGTTCTAATGTGGGTCCGTCTTCCCCAGGCCTGCTGCTAACAGCTATTCTCTTCAGGCTTCTCTTCACCACGGTTCCGGCGACTATCTTCATCTCTTTCTCTTTTCTGATTGTATTCTTTTGTTTCGGGTCCTTCTCTTTCTTAATTTAGTCCTTCATTTTTCTAGAACACATCCTCCACATTAGAAAGGGTATATAGGATGAAAAATGTTTTGACATCTTGCCCGTCTAAAATTACCTGGGTTTACAATACTAGGTGAGAAGTAGTTTAAATCTCACAATTTTGAAGGCCTTATTCTATTGCAGTAGTTCTCGAAGTGGGATCCCCAAGCTAGCAGCATCAGCGTCCCCTGGGAACTTGGGAAGAGCCCCCATTTTTGAGCTCTGTCCACGCTTACTGAGTCAGAGATGCTGGGAGTGCCAGGGTGTGAGGCCTTGGAGTCTGTGTTTTGACAAATCCTTTAGTCAGTTTGTGCAAAGCACAGATTCGCAGCAGTGGGAGATGGTCATTTGACGGCAGTCTCTCAGATGTTGTGGGTAATTTTGCGGGGAGGAGGTAAGTCTAGTCTTCTCTAGAAGAATCTTCCTACTTTCTGCCTAGGGTATGGGTGGGGGTGGGTGAGGGTTCTAAGCTTGACCTTCAGGGATGTGTTAAGAGGATAGTCCATTCTCAGTGTGGGAAGGAATCTGAGGTTGATGGATTGATTATATCAACTATTGGAAAACTTTCTGTATTCAGCTCTGTTATCTTCAGAGGACCTGTTGTCCTCAGTTCCTGAGCATTGGGAATTCTTTGGCTTTTCTTCCTGCAGCCCCTCAACTTTTAGCATTTTGCATTCCATTATGTCACTTACCACCTTTCAAAATTTTATTAAAGTCACTCCAGTGCAGTCCTTTTCTCTTTCATTCTCTTTATCTTTGTGCATGAATATCTTTTTTTTTTTTTTTTTTTAATTCCCTTGGTTTCATTTGGTAGGGCTTTAGAAGGGATAGAAGGGGTTGTTTCTGCTGTTGTTGGTATATAAAATAGAATAACTTTTATAAAATGGAATTATATTTTAGAAATTTGAAGAAAACTGAAGACAGAAAAAGGAAACTAGAGGAGCTTCTAAATTCTGTTGGCCAGAAAGTATCAGAACTCAAAGAGAAGTAAGTTAAGTTTAAAATGTATTTTGAAAAAAAAAAATGTATTTTGGATATTTGAAAACTAAGGTTTCAGTTTTGAAAATCTTATAATCATTATTTTCACTTTCTTTAGTGATTTATCACTCTAAAATAGGGAAGCATATGAAATAATATAGAAGGTATTCCTTTTTTAAACAGTGATTTTGGTAGGAACAAACACAGTTGAAGTCTCCCTTGTGGAGCTGTCCCTGTGTCTACTCCTGAGCCACGGGAGACTCGCGCAAGAGGGAGAGAATGTAGTAGGTTCATGCCCAAGGTCCTTACATTTGGCGTCTGCATTTCCGTGATATCCAGACTTGCTTCACGTGACCTGTTCTGTAATCTGCCTGAGGCGCAGGATCACATTAAGACTATTGTGTCCTTTTAGTTTTGTACTTTGAATGTTTAAAAACATACTCCTTTATGCAATATCGTACTTAAATTTCAGGACCATTTATGAATATTATTAATCATAAAACCTTTCCTTAACCTCTGGCTTCATGTGATTGCTGTAGAGTATAGGGTGGAAAATACTGGTGTGGGAATCATAGCAAATGTGGGACCATGTCCCTTTAAAAATCGTGAAAATTGGAAAGCTAGAGCATATGTGATTAAACACTGTGCTATGTTATCATTTGCTTCTAGTTTTGTAAGACTCCAGCTTTTCTAAATACATACTTTTTTTCAAGTGGTGTGTTCCATTTTCCATCTTTTTTTTATGGAAGAAATATAAATTACTGTACCAAGAAATAAATTCATCAGACTGAAAACTATTATTTTTTTCCCCATACAGGAAATAATGATCTTGTTTATATTTACATATATTTACTTATAGAGAAAAAAAAATGCCTCAAACCCATAAGTCCAGTCATTTCAATATTTCTGAATTTTTTTGTATGTTATAGATACAGGAAAGAAACATCATCATTTTCTTCTAGATATAATTAGAGAAGCGTGAGGAAAGTATTTATTCCTTTCAGTGTCCTATGCTGAGAATTGGTGCTTACTGTTCAGCAAGTGCTCGGTATTTATTGGGTGGTTCACATATGGTGTACACGTGTGATCTGTCGTGCTGGGCACTTCACATACGTGTCAGTTTTAGTACTTCACGTAAACCCAGAGAGGTGGGTATTTTCATCCTGCACATTAGGAAGGTTTATTTTCCTACGTTGAACAGTTAGTAACTGACAAAGTTAGCACTAGACCATAGATTTGTCTCACTCTATAAAGTTCCTGTTCTTAATCACTGTGCCATACTGTCAATATTGTTTAAAAAAACCTTCAGAATTAACTTTGAATTTTAAGTAAAACAGAATGGCATTTTCCAGTTTAGAGTGATTATCAAGAATGAATCAATGCCGGTTAATAGCCATTTACTTGATTCTTAATTAAGGTTTAATTGACCCTAGATTGTGAGTGACAATCTTATTTTCTTATATATGTACAAAGAAAAAAGTAGTTGAAAAATAAATATGATCTATCAATATTTAAATTCTAACTTGACAGAATTGAGACATTTGCCATTTTAGTATAATTTATACAGAAACATTCAAGTTAACTTGATTCAGCAAATACTTACGGCAGAACCATGTACGTAGTATGAGTTGCTGAGGTGAGTAGGTGTGGTCTCTACTTCCAGGTCTCGAGCGGAGCTGATGACACGATGGGAGTTCTGTAGTCTGCACCATCCAGCGTGGTGGCCACCAGCCCTTGAAATGTGGGTAATGTAACTGAGGAATTGAATTTCAGATTTTGTTTACTTTTAGTTAATTTAAATTTAAATCGCCACTTGTGGCTGGTGGCTACCATACTGGAAAACTGAGTTCTACTCCCATGTGTAGGAGAAGGAATTGAGCGCTTAGAGAGGCAATAAGATGCACTGTAAATTGCATGGAACATAGTGTCAGATGCACCCATACGTGGGTGGATTTTAGATCCTCTACTGATTACTGGTGAAACCTGTAAGAAAATCTGTTTGGAACGTGAGAATCATAACACTTATTTTGAGCTGTTGTTTTGAGGATTACATGACATGATTTTTTGTTGCTGTTTATTGTTTTGTTTTTGATGCTTAGCACAATCCTGGGCGTTTTATAAGTACTTATGTATTTATTGAAGGACTAGGTAATCAGCTGGAATATTACTATTTTATTTAATAAAATAATTTGTACAAGTATTTTTTAAGGAAAATAATTTAAAAGGATGGTTATAAACTTGGGCAAGTGGGCACATAGGGAAAGAATATATGTAATGGGTTGGATATTTGAAGTGAGTTTTAAAATTTTCTTTACATTTTTGATAGGTAGATATTTGAAGGAGTTAGAGTGCTGGGGGGTGGGGTAAGAAAGGGGCTGGAAGGTATTCCAGGCATGTGGGACGTCCTGAAGAAGCAGGATATCCAGAAGAGGATAGCGTGTTTATCCTTCAGAGGTTGACATGGGAGGCTCGAATGAGGGAAAACTGAGGAGGCGGTGGGGGCGGGGGGGGGTCGACCCTCCCACAGGGCCCTGAACATCACAGGGAGGAGTTTGTGCTTGAGCAGCCCTGCCTTTCACATCTGCACCCTGCTGTGTCTGCTGCGTTCGTGCCATCCTGAACACAAATATTATCAGTATTACCATTAACGTAGAGAAAAGCTCACTTACTAAGGCTCCTTCAGTCATCTCTCTTAAATCCCTTTGCCTTTAATTGATGTTGACGTTTTCACAGATTCCAGAGCAGGACGTCAGAAGCCGCCAAACTGGAAGCTGAAGTGAGCAGAGCGCAGGAGACAATCCAAGCCGCGGAGGTCCTGATCAGTCAGCTCAATAGAGAGCACAAGCGCTGGAATGCACAGGTTGGCTGGGGGCACCGGGGGCACGGCCGTCAGAGAGAGGCTTCCTTTAAAACACGGAAAATCAGCAGTGTACTGTATGTGTTAGAAAAAGAAAACAGGAGGGCAGTAGCCGTGCACTTTGAGCTGGCTGAGGGTCAGTGATGTAGACGTACAGGGCCATGATGTGAGTTCATCTTCAAGCAGAATGTTTCTGTATGTGTGCATTTGAGTGCAGCCTGTTCCTCCCGTAGTTGTGTAGGTTACCAGGGGGACAGCAGGAACGAAAATGACTCAAGGGAAAGTGTGGCACTCTCTAGAAATCCCATTGGACTAGGCCTTCTGGGACCACCAGCTTAGGATTTGACACTGTTGGCCGCTTACTCCTTCTAGAAATACTCTGTTATGTTGACTTTGTTAAAGTGCTGTCTCTTGTTTTGTTTTGTTTTGGTTGGTTGGTGGGTTTTTCTTGAACTAGTTCGATTCCCCCCTCCTTCCCCCCACCAGAGAGAAAGGCAGGCTCCCTGTGGAGCAGGGAGCCCGATGCAGGACTCGATCCCAGGACCCTGGGATCATGACCTGAGCTGAAGGCAGGCGCTTCACTGACTGAGCCACCCAGGAGCCCATCTCCTCTGATATGCTTTCACCAAGAACATTTTTTACTTAAAGCATACTTCAGAATACATTGTTCTAAAAGATCTATAAAAAACATTCCATCCAAGAAAAATAGAATACACAGTTTTTTAAGTATACACAGAAGAATCCCCTGGTTAAATCACATAAAAAGAGACATAACAAATATTACAAATTTAAGAAGACTGAAATTATACCAAGTATATCTTCCAACCACAGTGGTATGAAACTAAAGATCAACAATAAAAAAAGAGCTGGAAAATCTACAATGTAAATATTAAATATTTAATATATAAATATTAAACAGCATACTACTGCACAAGCAGTAGGCCAAATAAGAAATCAAACAGCAAATCAAAATATATCTCAAAGCAAAACCTGTGGGATACAGCAAAAGCATATGTTAGAGTGAAATTTATGCTATAAATGCTTGTATGAAGAAAAAAATTCCAAATAAAAAACTTAACATTATACAATCACAAGGAACTACAAAAAGAAAAAACTTAGCTGAAATTAGTACAGGAAAGAAATAACAAAGAAAAATCAGAAATAATGAAATAGTGACCAAAATAAACAATAATACAACGTTGGAAGTAACGACCAGTTTTTCCAAAAAAATAAACAAAATTGGCAGTGCTTTAACTACATTAAGAAAAAGAAGACTGAAAGTCAAAATGAGAAATGCGAGAGAAAACGGTACAACAGATAACCACAGAAATACGTAGTGTGATAACAGATTACTAAAAACAATTATATACCAACAAATCAGATAACTTAGGAAATGCACAAATTACCATGATTGAATCATGAATTGTGAATCCAAGAAATAGGAAATTTTCTTAGACCAATGAGAAGAATGAAAGGTGAATTAGGAATTGGAAATCTCCTAGCACAGAAAATCCCAAGACCACATGGTTACATTGGTGAATTCTACCAAACATATAAAGGAAATAATGTCAATCTCTATCAAAATCTTACAAATAATGGAATAGAGGGAACACATTCAGAATCATTCCATGAGGCCAGTATTACTCCGATACCAAAGCAGGACAAAAACAATACAAGAACAAAGAAGTCTGGTTTGTCTGATGTAAGTATTGCCAGTCTGACTTTGTTTTGATGTCCATTAGCATGAGAGGTGGTTCTCCATCCCCTCACTTTCAATCTGCTGGTGTCTTTAGTTCTAAAATGAGTTCCTTATAGGCAGCACATAGATGGGTCTTACTTTTTTATCCATTCTGATACCCTGTGTCTTTTGATTAGAGTGTTTAGTCCATTTACATTCAAAATAATTATTTACAGATATGTATTTACTGCAGTTTTATTACTTGTTTTGTCCTTGTTTCTGGAGATTTTCTCTGATCCTTTGTCTTTGTTACTTTTGGTCTCTCCTTTCCACTCACAGAGTCCCTTTTAATATTTCTTGTAGGGCTGATTTAGTGGTCATGAACTCCTTTAGTTTTTTTGTTTGGGAAACTTCATCTCTCCTTCTATTCTGAATGACAGCCTTGCTGGGTAGAGTATTCTTGGCTGCAGATTTTTCCCATTCAGCACGTTGAATAATACATCATGCCACTCCCTTCTGGCCCGCCAAGTGTCCGTGGGGAGATCTGCAGCTAGTCTTATGGGTCTTCCCTTGTAAGTTAAGGACTTCTTTTGTCTTGTTGCTTTTAAGACTCTTTGTCACTGTGGTTTGCAAATTTTCCTACAGTATGTCTTGGTGTTGGCCTGCTTTTGTTGATTTTGATGGGAATTCTCTGTGCCTTCTGGATCTGGATGTCTGTTTCCTTCCCCAGATTAGGGAAGTTTTCTGCTATTATTTCCTTACATAAACCTTCTGCCCCCTTTCCTCTTCTCCTCCTGGGACTCCTGTCATACGAACGTTATGATGTTTGATGGAGTCGCTGAGTGTGTGTTCTCACGTTCCATAATTCTTCTTTCTCTTTTGTTCATTGTCATTATGTTCCATTATTTTGTCTTCTGGATCACTAATTCGTTCCTCTGCTTCTTCTAGCCTGCTGTTCTTTGCATCAGTCCTGTTTCCATGATCAGTTAGTACATTCTTCATCTCTGACTGATTCTGTTTTATTCTCTTATCTCTGCGGTAAGGGCCTCCCTGAAGTCTTCCATTCATTTCTCAAGCCCAGCGAGTATCCTCACAATCGTTGCTTTAAATTCTCCATCAGGCATGTTACTTATATCAGTTTGGCTTAGATCTTTGCCTGTAGCTTTGCCCTTTTCTTTGATTTGGGAGAAATTCCTCTGTCTTGGCATCTTGCCTGTGTCTCTTCCTTCTCTCTGTGTTAGAAAAGCCTGTTATATGACCCGTCCTGAGAGTATGAAGAAGAGGTCTGCAGTGCCCAGGGCCTGGTGCTTCAGGGAGCGTCTCAGATGTGTGCTGCATGCACTCTGCTGCTGTGGTTTGGCCGCTCTGTCCTTCGGGCCAGTGGTCTGCAGGGGCTCTCCTTGCCCTCTGTGGACAGTGTTTGGTCCCTGGCCTGAATGTGGCGAGTTTTAATGAGGTGTGCTCTGGTCTGCTTGTGAAATGAGACCTGACACCAACTCCACCAGAACTGAGGCCTTGCAGAACTCCCTGGTTGGGAGACGTGGTGTGGGCAGGGGTTTCCGTTTGTCTTCTGGGGAGGGGCCTGCCGCTCTGGGCCTGAGCAAGCCTGCCGGAGGAGGGCCTTCCCGGCAGAGCGCAGGGGTGTGGGACCTGGGGTAAGCAGGTTAGGCGGCCAGTGTGGGCGCTGCGCTGTTTACTGCAGGTGGCTCCGTGTTTATGCTGAGGGGCGGGGAGGGGAGTGGGGCCAGCGGGCTCCTTTGTTCCCAGAGAGGCGGCTCTGTGAACGCTGCCTCTACAAGAAGAGCGAATAATCTCCCCCCGTGTGCCCCAGGCGTTTTCAGGTTTTCCAGATCACTGTTTCCACGCTGTCCGGCTCTGGGTTGTTGGCCTGCCTCCTCTCCAGCGGTAGGGCAGTGCCCTCCAGGCTCTAGCCCAGGCAAGCCCGCTGACCTTGAAAACTCCAGGCTTTAATCTTGGCTGGTTGCAAGAACTCAAGAAATTCAGCCCCTGTCGTTTTCCCAGACTGTGGCTTTGGGGAAGCGTTCTCCTTTTGTGTTCCCCGGTGTGCCCCTGTCTCTCCCGCTTCTTTGCAACCAGGGCTCCCTCCCCTCTGCAGTCCCTGCAATCCCTTTCTCCCCCAGACCACGTCTCCACACTTCGTACCTTCTTCGATGTGGCTTCTTCTCTCCCTTTAGTTGTGGAGTGTGTTCTGTCAGTCTTCAGGGTGACTTCTGGGGTATTTAGGATGTTTTAATAGTTATCCAGCTGAGTTCGAGGGATGAGGTGAGCCTGAGGTCCTCGTACTCCATTGCCGTCTTTGATTGCTTCTTTATCCTTTCATCTTCTTTATCCATCTATTGATGGACACTTGGGTTGCTTACATATCTTAGCTATTGTAAATACTGCAGTGAGCATAGGGATGCATTTATCTTTTGAATTAGTGTTTTCATTTTCTTTGGGTAAATACCAGGAGTGGGATTACTAGATTGTATGGTATTTCTCTTTTTAATTTTTTGAAGAACCTCTGTAATGTTCTCCATAGTCTCTGCACCAATTCACATTCCTACCAGCAGTGCATGAGGGTTCCCTTTTCTTTATAGCATCATGTTATTTCTCGTCTTTTTGATGTTAGTCATTCTAAGTGATGTGAGGTTAGGTCTCATGTGCTTTTGATTTGTATTTCCCTGATGATGAGTGATGTTGAGTATCTTTTCATGTGTTTGTTGGCCATCTGCGTGTCTTCTTTGGAAAAATGTCTGTTCAGGTCATCTGCCCATTTTTAAATTGGATTATTGGGGGTTTTTAGTGTTGAGTTGTATGAATTCTTTAGGTATTTTGCTTACTAACCCCGTATTGGATACATCATTTGTAAATATCTTCTCCCATTCAGTAGTTTGCCTTTTTGTTTTGTTGATAGTTTCCTTTGCTGTGTAAAAGCAGTTTAGTTTGATGTAGTCCCATTAGTTTATTTTTGCTTTTGTTTCCCTCACCTGAGGAAAAATATCTAGAAAAATGTTGCTGTGGGCAACATCTGAGTGATTAGTGCCTATTTTCTTCTAGGAGTTTTATGCTTTTAGATCTTAAATGTGCTTTGAGTTTGTTTTTGTATATAGTATTAGAAAGCAGTCAAGTTTCATTCTTTTGCATGTAGCTCTCCAGCTTCGCCAACACCATTTCTTGAAGAGACTTTTTCCAGTTGTATATTCTTGCCTCCTTTGTCATAAATTAATTGATGATATAGATGTGGGTTTCTGGGCTCTGTCTTCTATTCCACTGATGTATTATTGTACCACTACCATACTGTTTTGATTACTATAACTTAATGGTGTACAACAAAATCTGGGATTGTGATAGCTCTAGTTCCCCCCACCCCCGCAAGATTGTTTTGGCTGTTGAAGGTCTTTTGTGGGTCCCTAGAAATTTTAGGATTATTTGTTCTAGTTCGGTGAAAGATGCTCTTGGTATTTTGATGGATTGCACTGAATGTGTAGATTGCTTTGGGTGGTATAGACATTTTAATGATACTCATTCTTCCAGTTCATGAGTATGGTGTATCTTTTCATTTGTTTGTATTGCTTTCATTTTCTTTCATCAGTGTCTTACAGTTTTCAGAGTACAGGTCTTTCACTTCCCAGGTTAAATTTATTCCTAGATATTTTTTTTTTAGTATAATTGTAAATGGGATTGTTTTCTTAATTTCTCTTTCTGCTACTTCATTATTAATATATAGAAATGCAACAGATTTCTGTATATTAATTTTGTATCCTGCAACATTACTGAATTCATTTATCAGATCTAATAGTTTTTTGGGGGGGCCTTTAGGGTTTTCTATGTATAGTATCAAGTTATCTGCAAATAGTGACAGTTTACTTCTTAGCATCTTGGGTGCCTTTCGTATTGTTTTCTTGTCTCATTGCTGTGGCTAGGACTTCCAATACTATGTTGAATAAAATTGGTGGAAGTGGGCATTCCTAATCCTGGATGAAAAGCTTTTATATCAGCATTGCGTATGACGTTAGCTGTGTGCTGTTCATATATGACTTTAATTATGTTGAGGTATGTTCTCTCTAAACCCACTTTGTTGAGAGTTTTTATTATGAATGGGTGTTGTATTTTGTCAAATGGTTTTTCCATATCTCTTGAGATAATCATAGAGCTCCTACCCTTCTTATTAATGTGATGTAGTACTTTGATTTTCAAATATTGAAGCACTCTTGCATTCCTGGAGTAAATCCCATTTGATTGTGGTGTTTTTTTTTAGTATACTGTCGAATTTGATTTGGTAATATTTTGTTGAGAACTTTTACATCTTTGTTCATCAAAAATATTGGCCTTTAGTTTTTTTTTGTAGTGTTTTTGTCTGGTTTTGGTGCCAGGGTAGTGCTGTAGTGCTGGCCTCATAGAATGAATTTAGATGTTTTTCTTCCTCTTCTATTTTTTTGGAATACTTTGAGACGAGCAGGTATTTTTGTTTGTTTTTTCTTTAAAAATTTTTTTTTTTATTTGAGTACAGTTGACCCACCATTTTACATTAGTTTCAGGTGTACAACATAGTCTGTATGTTACACTGTGCTCACCAAAGTGAGCGGTGCCCTTTATTCCTGTGACTTACTCCTTCCACAACTGGAAGCCTATGTCTCCTCCCCTTCACACATTCTGTCCATCCCCTAAACCATCAGTTTGTTCTCGGTTTTTATGGGTCTGATTCTGCTTTTTGTTTGTTTACTCATTCATTTTGTTTTTTAGATGCTTCAGATAAGTGAAATCATACGGTATTTCTGTTACTGACTTATTTCACTTAGTGTAATATGAGAAGAATAGGTAATAACTCTTCTTTATATTATTTGGTAGGATTTACCTGTGAGGCCATACAGTCCTTGACTTTTGTTTATTGGGAGTTTTTTGATTGCTGATTGGGTTTCACTACTAATAACTACTAATAAATCTGAATAGTCTATTCAGATTTCCTTATTTACTTGTCATATCCATTTGCAAATAGCCCTCATATTTGTCTTCTGTCTTTAATGCCAATTATTTTATTTTATTTTATTTTATTTTTTTGCCTAAATTCTCCTGACTTGTTTCCATCCTATCTGACCCTTAAATTGGTCCATTCCTCATTTGTCAGCTGAATAATCTTTCTAAACCCAGTCTCATTACATCCCTCCCTGTCTTGTTTAAACACTTTGAGTGGTTCATTACCACCGCAGCTTACAACAAAAGCTCCTTTGTGTGCAGGGAAAACCATTCACAGCGTTTCCTGCCCATTGTCTCTGCCTCTCTCTTTTCATTACTCCTGTGTTGCTGCTCTTTCTGCAGCCACACTATGCTTTTAACTAATGAGTCTCCATGCTTCCTTACAATTTTGTTTTGTACCTTTGCTCATACTCTCTGTACTTAATAGTAGTTTACAAAGTGATGCTAATTGATAGTATTTAACTATAATTGGGATAAAAGTTCTGCTTCATTAGGAATGTTTAATGACAAAATATGTTCATCTTTACAAATAATAGTGGTATTTCATACATTTTTATACATTCATACATTTCATACATTTAATTTCAATGACAAAATATGTTCATCTTTACAAATAATAGTGGTATTGCACACATTTTTTAAAATTTCAGCAGGGTCTGAGAGATCTTGTTGATATTTTTACATTTTCACAATTGTATTCAGGACAGGGCTTATTACTTTAAACCAATACATGATTTTCTTTCTACAGTCAAAACTCTAGTTTATGAAGCTGTCATGTTTTTCACATTTTAGAACATATCTATACCCTACTCCCTCACCTGCTTTCTCTCTTCTTGTCCAGGTTGCAGAGATAACAGAGGAATTAGTTACTCTTCCTAAGAGAGCTCAGCTAGCTGCTGCATTTATTACGTATCTTTCTGCTGCTCCTGAAGGTCTGAGAAAAACCTGTTTGGAAGAATGGACCAAATCAGCTTGTCTTGAAAGTTTGTATTTAGTCATTCACATTTTGAAATTTCAGTATCCTAAAAATGCATCTTTTAATTTTTGCCATTTTACTTTTTCTAAATGAGAAAAATTTTCTGTAAGCTAAAAGAAACCAAATCTACTTTAGATTTGCTCAATTCTGTAATTGTTCTCTGAATTGTTTTGTTGCAATGATTCTTCTATTCCTAAAATCACTCTCTGAAACTGAGACCATGGAGTATTTTTGATAATGGATGAATGCACTTAAATATTTTTTTTTTTTTGGTTTTGAAACTTTTATTTATTTATTTTTTTAAAGATTTTATTTATTTGAGAGAGAGAGAGAATGAGAGAGAGAGAACACATGAGAGGGGATAGGGTCAGAGGACGAAGCAGACTCCCTGCCGAGCAGGGAGCCCGACGCGGGACTCGATCCCGGGACTCCAGGATCATGACCTGAGCCGAAGGCAGTTGCTTAACCAACTGAGCCACCCAGGCGCCCGCAGTTAAATATTTTAATACATTGATTTTTACAGTAATTTTATATCATAAAATAAGATGTAAGAACTCCAAAATTCCTTGTGAATTTTGTGGTTTTCTCAAGTTATTATAGTTGTGAAATATGTATTAAATATACAAGAAATATAATTTCACTGAGTTCCATTCCTTTGCACTTTTTAAACTTTTCTCCCCCTTCTCGTGCTAAAGGGGGAAGAATGGATTGAATATTAAGAATGGTCATGGGACTGTTGTTTGAGTATATTTTAAATAGTTTTGTTCCCTTCCCTTTGTCAAGTGTGCAATCACTGTAGTGAAATATTAATTATCTTAAACTTTTCAGAATTTGATCTAAGGAGATTTCTTTGTACTGAAAGTGAGCAGTTAATTTGGAAAAGTGAAGGCCTACCATCCGATGACCTTTCCATAGAAAATGCTCTTGTTATCTTGCAGGTAATTAATCAGTTTTAATTTCTCATTGGAAGTATTCTTGTGGAAGCTTGTCCCAGGAAGCACCTTTTTCAAATTCTTAGGCTTTCACAGTTACTCTTTTCATTACATGAAAGTGAAGATATTTTGGGAACGAAAATCCATTTGTGATTCAGTTGGTGAATCTACAGTTTTCAGTATAATTTATTTTTTACCTTAATATAAAAGTATAAACTAAAGTGACATTATTTTGATGACAAAAAAATTCTAAATTGAACTCCCTAATAGTAATGGAGATATTTTAGTGGTACCTGATTTACCTGGTTATATAGTTACTGCATCTACAGTATATGATTTCACCATTTTTTTTTTCTTTTTACAAAACGAAGTTCTACAAAGTGAAGATAAGTTTTGGTTTGTAGGTTAGGGATAACAATATGCATTTTTTTGAAAATTTTTCTTTCCCATAATGTATATTTCTCCAAAGTCATTGTTTAAATGTGAAACTCTTACAGCCATGTTAGCAGTGATGAATATGAAAATCAAATTGTGACTCGGGTATACAAACCGTGATAATTCTTCTAGTGAAGTATGATTTTTACCTTTAGCTTGGTGAACCGTTGTGGATGTAACAGATAATGGGAAGGCGGTTCTTCCCTGTGCTGATAGGGTTTTCCTGTTGGTTCTGCCTCAGTGGCTTGCACTCCGTACACCAGTTTCCTCTTTGCTCCCTGCAGCCCCTTTCTCTGCCCGCACACCGTCTCCTCCTTCGGTGACTCCACAGCTCCAACAGAAGCATGAATGTTGAATGCTCCTTTTTAGGTAACACGAGCCATAGTACGACAAGATTTGTATTGTGGGCCCTGCATTCCTGGATAAATGGGTTTCTTTGATTAGGCCTACCAGTCGGCTGACATGCTTTGGCTCATTACATTGCTGCATCCCCAGTGAGGAGCTGCTGACCAAAGATCAAGCAGCCTTGACTGCTTAAAAACTTGATTTGGCTTGTTCTCTTTTAAAACATTTTCCATCATTTTTCACAGTAGAATCACAAATCTGGAACTCTAAATGTGTAGGTAAATAAGTTCATTACATTATATAAAAAAGTATGGCTTTTTATCCTATTTGTTATTCTTTCCCCAAAGTTTCATTCTCACCTCGTCTTCCTTTTTTAGCAATCCAAGAAAACAATCATTCGCAGATCTAAAAAACACACAGTTTTAAGTATCATTCTTTTTTTATTCCATAAGGAGTCAGGGGGGTGAGCCTTTAGAAAAAACATATTTATCACAGTATTTTTTTTCCTGATGATACTAATTGAAAATGTTTACTTTTGTGTTCTGAATTACCTTTCGTGATGAATATAGTTCATGAAATTGTTTTTGAAATTAATTTTTAATAATAAGCTTAGATTTACTTTGTATTTAATATTGCCATGTTTATTATAGATATTTATATGCATTTATATGACAAAACAAAAACAGATGGAAAGATTTGTTAGGGTAATTAGTTATTTTGTTGGGATGAATTTGCCACTATAGTTAACCCTCTGTCTCAGTTGTCAAGTATTCTAGATTTAGAGTAAGCTCTTGAACATAAGGCTGTGACTGGATAGCCCACGTCTATAAAAACCTTCTCAAGTGATGTATGTGAAGTTAGATTTCTAAATAGATACAAATTGGGTTTCTGGGAAGTCTGCCCTGAGAAAAAAATGACTAGGCATGACGAGTAAAATGTAATTTTGATTGAGAGATGTAGCTCATCTCATTAACCCCGCTAGAGTTTTCCAGAGGTTCTCCCTCTCCCTGGAGCCTTTCCCACATTCAAGGTCTGTAGTTGCTGTCTCCTTTAGTGGTCCTAAGTAAAACCTTTGTGTCCATAATTATTCCTTTGTTTGTCTTAAAAGATGCTTGAACTTCTCATATTTGTGTTAAACTATTGAAATGAAGTATTGTCTGGAAGAGGAAATAGTCAACTAATCTACCAATGACCTTGTAACGGGAGTTAGTTTAAGTACATCAGTAAGAGGTTCCTGTGACCTATGTCCTTATGGGTGGGGAAGAAGGTGGCCATTGGGGACCCTGTGTCCTGGATTGCTTGTCCTGTGATTTACACCTGTGGTCCTGATGGGATTATTGTTAGCTTTCCTTTTACTGTCAAAGGTGTCCTGGCCTGGGTGATAATTTCTGTGATCTTTCTAGAAATATTGCGGGTGGGACCCAGCGGTAATGCAGAGCTATAAGGCTGTTAGAAACCAGGGGGAAGGTGTGAGTGAAGAGTATCCAAAAAGGAGATGGGAAAGGTGATTAATTTAAATTTTACAGTATTAATAAATTTTTCTTGGTTTAAATTTCACAAATTTTTTCTTGTGAAGACATGTATTGAATGTTTTTTATTGTTCGTAGACAATTCAGTGTCAAATTAGATATTTTTTTAAACCACACAGAATTTCTGAGATTATTTTTCTTCCTGACATTCAGTGTATGTTGAGGAAATGCAAATTAATTGGCTCTTAATGTAAAGAACACAAAATTTTAAAGGTAAATCACGTAGGGAAAGTTCTTTTTTCAGATAAACCCCAAATAAATAATAGTAACACTGAAGTAGTCACACTATGTTGTACACATGTTACTATTTAAGAATTAATACAGGTAAAGCACTTAAACACTTAACTCACTGAATTTTCAGATCAGCCCCGTCTAGTCCGTGTGTTACCCTTTTTATAGATAAGGACGTTGCAGCACAGAAGGGTGAAGTCACTTGTGTCCGTCTCTAAATTAATCATTGTTTATTTATTTTTTTTTTTAGTCAAGGATTTTTTACTGGCCAAGCATAGTACATTTAAGAAGAAAAAAAGGAACTTGTGCTTTTAAATATAATTAAGATGCTGAAAGCATTGAGATCAGCTCTAGGATTCAAATGATGTCACCAGGATGTTGTTTTCTCAACCCATCTTAAGAGATTCGTTGTCAGATAGGTTCTGTCCACCCTGTGTTACGGATGGCCATTGGTGGCTCCAGGCTGACTATTGTCAGAGCTCATGCTCGAAGACTAGAGTTGTGTCTGCATACCCCTCTCCCCCAACAGTATTGGTGTCCTTTCCCCAAAGGATTCTGATTAGTTAGCTTGGGTCATGTGCTCGTCCGTTTGGGCAGTGCTAGGTGACTGATGGTCCCTTCAGAGACACATGGGGTGGGCGTGCAGGGAGGGCAAACGTGGCTTTCTACGGTGGGAATCTTTTCTCACCTCCCCCCGTGACTTGCTTTTTCTTACCCCTGCCCGTGGAGGCGTCAGTCCTGGCCTAGGAGCGTGAGCAGCACACTTGCAAGTCACCGTGGGTCTCTCTAATTCACGTGCAGCTGGTTCCTCAACAAATCTTGTTACACCTCTGTCTCGGGAGCGCCATGGGCTCATCCTGCTCCAAGCACATCCACTGCGAGTGGACTCGTCTTGGCTGCACAGTGAGGCACCGGATGAATACAGTATCACACTGTCGGCCCCTTGCCCCCAACATCACTGCCTTCACTGCCGTAGGAGCGCTCTTTCCACCATAGTAACCTGGTCAGGATGCTCCGTTGATGATATTTTCCAGTGACTTTCCGTTGCTTGAAGTATAAGCGTGTCATTGTTAAGCATGGCCTAAAAAGAGCTGAAGGACCTTGACTGCTCCTGCCGTATCCTCTGCATCATTCTTGCCTGTGCTTTTTAATTCCAGGTTTGCCGAGCTCCGCTAGTTTTCCAGATCGTGCTGGGCTTTTTATCCCTCTGCCTTTCATGCTCTTGTCTTTGCCTGTCGTGCTTTTTCCACTTCTTTTCCAGGCTAAGTCCCATTTATCTTTCCTGACTTGGTTTGACCTGAACTGCTTTCTCGCGGCTTCCCCCTAACTCCACCTGTGCTCCACTCATAGACTCTTGCGTGCTCTTTGTAGATTGTCAGTTTTTGCTTCTTTCGTGGGTGTGAACCCGTTGAGGGTAAGCGTATGTGTCATTAATTTCTGTATCCCTCATATTGTCTTACTGAGTAGTTGTTCAGTGTATGGTAGGTGAAAGAACTCATGAATGAATGAAAGCTCAATATTTTTGGATCTATTATAATTTGTTACATGTAGAATTTAACTACATTTAATCATGGATCACAGACTTAAAATATACCTCAGAGATTTTGTCTAAATCTCTATGGAGGAGTATAAATAACATGAAATCAAACTTGTCAGTACTCTTGGAAATTCTAAAGCATATTTTTGGTCCTACTGAAATGTATTGTCTTTTTTTTTTTTTTTTTCAACTGCATCAGATCATTGGTTTGAAATCATGGGTAAGAACTTTTTTTAAAATTTAAAGTAATTGTTTTTGTGGCTAGGCAAAATCTTGTAGTCTTGTGAAATGTTTGCTTCTGAATACTAGCATAAAATTAGGTCTCAAATGTAGGCGTAGTACATAGGAAGTACGTACAAGGCTACTTATCATCTTATTTAGTAGGAGGGGCATGTTTTATTGTTGTTATTGTTTATGATGGAGCGGTAAGGGAAAATAGCTGGAAAGAGATGCCGGCTGAGGATCCTACTGCAGTGTGCCGCTGTGGGAGCTATGGTGGGCGTGAACGGTCCGTTCCAGGTGCAAGCAAAAAGGGGGTGTGTGGTTTGGAGGGAATTTTAAAACAGTAATAAAGCTGGTTTACAGTCAGTCAACTCTTTATTACCACCAGCTTGTGGGTACTTTTAAACAACGTTGCTGACAAAATGCTCTCTGTCCCTAGGGCCGATGGCCCCCACCATCTGCCTCCTTGGTGTGTCCTTGAAATAGCCTCTGTGCTCGTATTAGACGCTCCTTGGGGCTAAGTCTTCACGTCACCTGGACTTCGTGTGTTTTCTTATCCCTGTTGCACAACCACATCACATTTTTTCTAATAAGTGTGAACATTTAAGAAAAATTAGGCCAGTTATTATTTAATTCTGATTTACTGGGTAACAATTCTTGTAATATTAGACTTTCAAATTTACCAAATATATTTACTTATATATTTACATATATTTTTGTTAATGATATCTCTATAATTGGCTTCCTTTCACCTGCTAAGTGACATTGTGTGTTTAGTGCATTTTCACTGGTTTCTAACTCTCTGTTTGTTTCAGCGTATCCTGTAATGAATTTAGTTCCTAGTTCATTAGATCTTAATCTACAAGCTATGTCTTTTCTAGGGTGCTCCTTTTTTTAGCTTTTTTTTTTTTTTATTTATTCATTTGAGAGAGAGAGACAGAGAGAGAGCATGAGCAAGGTGGAGGGGCAGAGGGAGAGGGAGAAGCAGACTCCCCACTGAGCATGGAGCCCGACGCGGGGCTCGATCCCGGGACCCTGGGATTGTGACCTGAGCCGAAGGCAGACACTCACCG